AAAAAAAATGATTTTTAAGTTTACTTGGGGTTATTTAAACAATCTTGGGGTTCGCTAAAAGTTCTCCGAACATTGCATGAACAGTTCTCCTAGATCATCGTCAAAGACCGACACAACTTGGATCCATGAAATCTTCCAAGGAACTCTTACAAACGAAACTCGATGCCTATGCTGTGAGACTGTGAGTCTTTTGTTATTCTCAATATCTTATCGCTCTATATCAACAATTTTATTCATGTTCACTTTCATAGGTCTCCAGTAAAGATGAGGACTTTCTGGATTTGTCAGTGGATATAGACCAAAATGCTTCGATCACTCATTGTTTGCGAGTTTTCAGTGAGACGGAAACCCTGTGCGGTGATCAGGTTGGTTTATAGCTCAATCGTTGATGTTGTGCTGGTGGGGCTTACGAATTTCGGACATTGTTACTTTGCAGAAATACTTCTGCGAAACATGTTCGTCGAAACAAGAAGCCCAAAAACGAATGCGTATAAAACGGTTACCACATATGCTGGCCTTGCATTTGAAACGTTTCAAATACATGGATCAGCTCAGCCGATATACGAAACTGTCCTATCGAGTGCTGTTCCCGCTGGAGTTGCGATTATTCAATGTGGTGAGTATTGTGGCATGCAAATTAACTGCGATTCTATGAAAAATACGTCTTTACAGAGCGATGATGCTTCGAATGGTGATCGTCTTTACGATCTGGTCGCCGCTGTTGTTCATTGTGGTGCAACGCCGAACCGAGGTCACTACATCACGATTGTGAAAAGCAATTCGTTTTGGTTGCTTTTCGATGACGATATAGTTGATGTGAGTGCGTTTGGCATTATTGGTTTTTCTTTGGCATAATCTTTTTCCAGTCAAAATCTTTTTTTACTTTGCACGATGTTTATAGATTTCTTTGTGTCATATTCTCTCAGAGAAACTTGGTGCCACATCATTTACTGCACATTCACTGTTTGAGTTTCCAAAATTCTTTATCTTATCTGTGTATGAATTCATGCTCTAAATCTTCTGCAGGCACAAAATGCTTTTTTGTCTTGAATGACAAAATCTAATTAGGCATAGTGGCTATCAAGGGTTGCTTCTCTGATGAGGAATTAGTTTTCGAAACTTTATGGCATTTTGACTTTGACTTTTGGAGGGCGATTTGTTTTTTTTTATTCATGTTAGTACATCCTGCAACTTCTATTAGTGAGGATCGCGCCTACACGTCCACCATCCGTCAAATGCGTTAGCAATTTCGGCAAAAGCCTTTCTAACTAAAGATATATCTCCCAATTAGCATACTTCCCACCATTTCAGAAGATGGACATCTCATCAATGGAGGATTTCTTTGGGCTTTCTGACGGCGGCTTGCAGAAGAACTCCGAATCTGCTTACATTTTATTCTACCAAGCGCGGGATTGTCCAGACTTGCTGAAAACAAGTGGTTCAGCAATTTCGAATCACGCCTCCATATGATGTCTGCTTAGCGCATCTGCAACCAGTCATCACTATAGCTAAGTTGATAATGCTCTAGTCGCTTCATCCGTGTGCACATTGGAAGTTATATACTTAACGTAGCACTTCGGTCTTATTTGCACAGGTTGATTTGCTAGTAATGTACGAAAATCCTCTTTCTGTGAAAGAGGTCGCATTACAGTACACTTTTATCCCAGATGCTAACATAGCTCTAGTTTGTCGACTTATTACTTGGATAAGGGAACAGAGGATTAATGAATGAAGTTGTGATTTATTCCATGTCAACGCACTTTGTCGCCATTTTGTATGCCTAGCCTTATAATGTTCGTCAAGATTAGATGAGATGCCAAGAACTATTTTCAATTGTCATAGCTAGTATATACTGCAGTAATATAGAATCTTTTATCTAGAATATGATTCTTCTTCTGTTGTTCATCCGCAATATCTCGCTTGTAAAACAATCGTGAAATTATGAGAGTCTCATTACTGTGTACTGAGAATCATAGGAAATGTTGGCCGCCCGGGTTAGCGTTAGGTGTTCTTCATTTGTGATGATTTTGAATATGTACATATTTATTGACTCAATAAATTGAATAAATTTTGCTATCTCGTGAGTAGAACACTTGAAAAGTCTAGTGTCGATGTGTATTAAGATGGA